ATCTTTTAGGAATATGAGCATGTCCACATTTGCAGGTAGAAGCTGGGATGTTTGGGCGTTACAATATCCCCTGCTGTGGAAAAAACTATCTTGCTTGGTAATTCATTTTACTATTATCTAAACAAAATCGCGGCCTATTTTGTCAGTCTCACGACGGTATTGAGACATTTATTTACCGCGATATTCGATATATCGTTACATCCCTAGTGATTATAGGTTTTACAGTTGAAGTGCAGTCTGTACTGGTTCACTGTATTGAGTGCTTTAAAATGAAAACTACTAAATGGGTGTGGTTCGTGCGTGTTTCAGGCGAGAGCGCATTCTTCGACAGTTCCCCTGCCTAATATTTAACCCACATTTGCAAACCTTTGTAACTCTTAATGTTTTGGCGGAAAGTGGTTGATCCAAGCATAACAAAACATTTCTAGATCTTTGGCAGAGAGAGTTCTTTCGTATGATTCAAACCCCACTGCAGGCAGCATGTCGTGGTGTCCCTGAGACACTTCACCCCAAATTGCTCCTGTAGGGATTGCCCACAGTATTGAGTATGTAAGTCGCTTTGGATAAAAGCGTCTAACAAGTGACATGTCATGTGATGTAGAAAGAACAACTGAGGCAAGAGGAGCCTCAGGAAGTTACTACTTGACTGACTTTCCTGCTCAACAGAAACATGCATAGTCATTGACTTGCTAATGCATTTGCTGTCACTGTCACAGTGAGTATTCCCAGAAGAGTTAACATGAAACCAACATGACACATAGCATAGGAACTTTACACACAACCAGTGGTTTGCAGCACCACCCCACAAAAATAGAAGCAGAGTCACAGGAGAATCCCCTCTTTACAGAGAGGCAGGCTTTTTTTGGAATCTAATAGACTTGTCCAGGAAGGGATTGAAACCTGAAACGTGTCCAACTGGTCAATCTTTCAGAGTAGTGCTCCACATGTTTATCAGCTGCCTGCTGAGTAGGGGTGAGAGGCTTTCAGTATCTAATCTTCGGTTTTGATTTTATTCTTTGGGTCATTATTCAAAATCAATTCTGGTTTCAGTACAAAGGGGTTCCCTTTTTTCAGGATTTGCTCCAATAATTCAGAAGTGCACCAGAAATGGGGATATGGCAAAGTATGGCAGCGGTAGTGTGTATTCGTCATTCAAAAGAGGCAACAACCGGAAGACAGACTGCGTGATACACCGAGAGAAGAAGAACAGACTGCGTGATATAAACAAACAACAAATAGCGTTCCATTTTCACTCTACAGCGAGAAGCTCACGGGGCTTTCCCGAACCTGTGTCGAGAGCTGGAGTTAAATGAAATCTCAGATTTGCCTTTTTCATCGTTTGTTTGGGTCCCTCACTTCCGTTTCGCTTCTCATGCCCTGATTCGCTAGCTGAACAGCCAATCAGAGTGATTTATTTGACCGACAGCCTTTGGCCGACTGCCCATCGATTCGACATGTTGAATCGGTGGGTTTTCGGACGAAAAGGTGTCGGCACGGCTGAAAAGACACAACGGTGCGGGACACACCAATCTGAGTAGGGCGTGTCGACGCTCATCGTCGGCCTGACGCCCATCAACGGCCAAAATCGGCTTGGTGTGTCCGGGCCTTTAGAGAAGTGAAACAGCCATTGTTTTGGACAACGACTTCAAGATGTCAGTGAGCCAAGGCATGATATTCATTGTTCCGAAACAATAAGGCTTTGTACCAATTAGCAAAAGAACAAATCAAAAATTTGAAGCAGATTACAACTTGTTATGCTCTAATTTTTATACTTCATAAAACACAGTCATTCTGTGCAGCGTTGACAGTTTAGTCTGCAGTGATGACATGCTGTCTGTCTTACAGTGCCCTCAATGAAATTCCACCTCAAAGGTCTTTTCCACTGAAATCTGAAGATGTCCTTACATGGCTGATCGCAGTATTCACAATCATTTACCAAAATATAACAGGGGAATGGAAAAAGGCTTTCATTGTAGAATAAACAATAGTCGGATGACTTCAACTAAATGCATCTGGATGAAATATGATAGATATTATAATATTAGATCCATCACCTTAGGGAAACCCCACCTGAACTACATGTTGTTTGCGGCAGTGAGCAGATGGACAAACACAATAGGCGAATTTCAAGAACATAGATGGAAATATTTACTTAATGTTTGCGCTCATTATAAAACACAAATAGGTGTGTCTTTATAAATATATATTCATATAGCTAAACATACTAATAGAGAAAGGAATAGAGATTTAAGTCATATATGTTATCATTTATATAGCGTTAATGACTTCTTGTTATGCTGTTGAACTGTCTGACAAGCACTTTTGATGAAGCATATTGACACCTTGAGTAGCGTGAGTGTGGGAGGAATGAGTCCTTAAAGCCGGAAATGAGTTTAATCTTAATTTAAATCAATTTACCACATCCAGTTCCCTTATCATGAATTCATTGTTTTTAAAATAGGTTTTTGGTTAGATGCCTGGAATAAGGTCTGTAGTTAACACAATCTTAAGAGATGTGTCTAGAATGTTTTATTCTACGACATAAAATACATCAGTAACCCCACTGGTGATTATCTGAAGCTTCTGTCTCAAAAAAAAAGCGGTTGCTCCAGAACTTATTTTCGGCAATACTCTCAAATCCCAGTGCTTTTAGTTTTAGGCCCCCTGATGCCAACTTCCATGCGTCCTACAAAAATACATCATCACTGCACCCCTCTATGGACACTTTAAATCTCATTCCACATTTTGGTAACGTTTCTATTAAATACTTGCGAGTAGACTGTGTTTTTTATTTATTTATGTATAGCCTTGACATTTTTTCATCTCGAGTCATGTAATCCATTAGCTCCTCTTCGGACCATTCAATGCAGATGCAGAATGCCTGGTGAGAGAGCAAAATGGAAGAGGATCCATGAGAAGATTAGATCAAGACAGACAGGAAAAGACATTTAAGCAAATGGAATTATTAAGAGCATAATTTGGAACGGGGAAATGCATTAAATGGAAAGGACAGATGGGTGGTGGCAAGAGAGGGAGAGATTGAGAAGCCTAACAGCATCGTGAAGGCAGGGATGGAGGGACTGTGTCAGGCTAAAGAGCCACAATATAGGAGATGGAGAGAGCACTTGGTCAGTCTCCAAGATATCGATTTACAAATTAGCCTTAGTGTGTGCGTGAGTGTCTCTGTGGCCAGAGGAGAGGTGGGGGATGGGGCATGTGAAGTACGGGACCAGTTAGTGGTCCACAATCGAATTAAGGCCCCGTCCACACGGAGACGAAAACAAACGGAGGTCGATATAAAAAAAGTCTTCCGTCCACACGGAATCGGCACAAGAAACGTGTCCGTCCACACGAGACCGCTCGACCCGCTGGAGACGCTGTAGTACATATGCCGGGCCTGTAAGTGGCGCTGTACTTCCGCCACAAAATACACCAAAAGCAGCGAATAAGACCCTCTCTGTGTTTGGCAACCATGCCAAAGCTGCACTCCCAGCCTCACTGCAGAACAATAAGCACTGTATGCCACAGCGCTCACTGGCATCAATATCAATACACTGAAATATAATTTAGTGGGATACAATCAAGGCGGGATTGTGTTATTCATGGGGCCCCACAGAGCTCAATATGAATTAAATTAAATTAAATGATCATATGCAAAAAGTGTAATTTATATAAATGTTGAAATAATGATTTACTCAGCTAGTTATTATGTAATACATTTCATAATTCTTTATAACAATTTTAGTTATAAAGGTAATGTTTTTGGTTTGGTTTGCTATTCTGGCAGCATGATTTTTAGTCAATAGAGGGCGGTGCAAGGGGGTTTGTTAAAATAAGTATGATTGTATAGAAGTCTATGAGAAAATCACCTTTTTTTCAGTTGTTTTAATACCTGAGTAAACATTTCCTGACGGGTTTCTGTTCTCAATTGCTAGTTTCAAATATTTTTCAATATAGTCTGCTGGTCATTTTGTAAACAGTATATTTTAGGGCGTGGCTACCTTGTAACTTTGCTTTATTCAGCACATAAACAACACAGATTAGCAGTCGGCTTCTCAAATGTGTCAGCACTTCCAAAAGCACACAGTTCAAACCAGATGCAATCGCTACTGTAATAAATGACCTCACTCAAAATGAGTCCCTGAATGTAGGTTTTTGTTGCAGTAAATTGGAAACTTCACTCCTGTATGGAAACACACATTAAGTCATCTGAAACAAAGGATAGTGTTGAGCAATCATTTATATTAATAGGACTGAAACCAAGAACCAAAACACATCAGCTAGACGGGGGGCAGCCCTTGTTTTATGTCCGGAATGAAAAATAATGTTGAGCATTGTGGAGCAGGCGAGAAACAAGAAACAACTCCCTGTGAAAATGACTCGCTTTATTCTACTGGCATAGAAACAAGAGTGCGCCTTCTGCTGTCCATCAGGCGTCATTGCAGGCTGGCAGGAATTCACAGGAGGTGGTCAAAGCCACAGTGAAGCCTTCCTCTTTTTACATTCTTGTAATAGCTCTTTGCAATCACTTGTTTTTCTCTAAGAGGCAGAACGAGTGTCAAGTATAATGGTATCCCTGCAGTCATCCTGCCTGCACACTTTTTTAAATGATCAACATTGAAATCACGCTTAAACTGAGCAATATAAAAAATCGAATGAATTCATCCTGATTAACACAAACAGATTTATGTCTGCAGGCCTAGCAACCTACATTGATAAAAAAAAATCCTATAAAGATTGATAAACAAAAGAAAACAATTATTAAAAAATGAGATTAAAAAAACAATCTCAAACAATTCTCACAAAATGGAAAACATAAAGAATTATTTAATTAAATCTCATATTAAATGAGATTTTAAAAAGTAAAATCTTTTTTAACCTTATTGTCTTTTAACCATCCTATGTTTGTTTTTTTAAATGAAGTGTAATATATATAAGTATACCTGTTAATGTATGGTTGTTGCCATGGATATGAATCATTCCTCTCTGTGTCTGTCCAGGTGTCCACATCCTGATTGCAGTGGGCGCAGTGATGATGGTGGTCGGCTTCCTCGGTTGCTATGGCGCCATCCAGGAGTCCCAGTGTCTGCTGGGAACGGTGAGTCACATATGTAGGTTTTAATTAGTTGTAATTAGAGGCCCAAAAATAACCAAAACCAACTTCAAGCTGTGAAGATACTTTTCACACATTATTTCATGTTTTTTTATTCTCATTTTCTATTGATACAAATGTTTTTTTCACAATAATCAAATAGTGCAATCCTGAAATTGTGAGTTTAATTTTTGAAGGAACATGCACGAGTACACACGTACGCACGTGTGCATTCACAATACTCACACTGCTCCACTGATTATCTGGGGTCATTTACATGGATGTAAAGAACACTGGATTTGAAATACATGAAATCATATTGTCTATTTAAAAAGTCAAAACCTTTGTTATCTGACTTGTTGAAGGAGTAATGAGATGATTCTGTCCTGCAGTTCTTCGCCTGCCTCATCATCCTGTTCGCCTGCGAGGTTGCAGCTGGAATCTGGGGCTTCATGAACAAAGACACTGTAAGACGGGAGGTTCAAATATGCATGCTACATTGAGGCTCAAATACAGTTCAATTGCAGGTGTATAATGAAAGAGTTAAATATTATGAAACAAATTACTAAGTTATTCTGGTTTATTAGTATTGCAAATGTCCACTCTGTAGGACGAATAAAGATGTTCTGATTTAGGCCTGAATTGCCAGGTAGAAAAACATCGTAAAACTAATAATATCACAAAAACGGTGAAATGATTCTTAAAACATGTTCTATGTAGCACGGCATAGATCCTACTGTGTGTCCTTTAGTGTCTATTAATCCTTCAAACGAATTAGCGACTTTCCTGAAATCAGCTCAAAATGAATTGACTGAATTCAGGGAACACACATGGTTTAAAGTTCCAGGCTGACCTCTTTGTTTCTGTCTTAGGTTGCCACGGAGATGATCAGCTTCTACGACTCTGCGTATGACAAGGCCATATCCTTCCCAGGGTTACCAGGAACAGAGAAGGACAACAAGGAGAAGGACGCCGTCACCGCTGTGCTCCGGGTCTTCCACGAGACTGTAAGAACAAAACAAAAGGACTCGAAGATAACTCATTCATTTTGAAACACAGGATGTACTTTGACAAAAGACGTCTTCATTTCATTTTAGGCTTTACAATCAGGGCTTTGGCATAGTATGCATTTCAATGGGACCTCTTAGTTTACCTATTACTAAAACACACTTCTCCTGCGCAGTGATTCAGTAGGTAGGTTTAGTTTCTGTAGAAAGAAAATATATGCTGAAATAATTTGAAATACTTTTCTACGTCCTATATCTCCCACACACACCAGAACAATCTAGATTTACAAATAGAACTACTTCAAAAATAAATAAGAATTGACTATTTTGGGGTGAACTGTGCCTTTTTTTGAGTTCCTAAGCGGGGGAAGCTGATTTGTGTAACTATTCTTTTTCTAAATTGTTATTTCAAATGTTTTCTTTTGTAAGGATATAATGAAGTCTAGATAATGTAGAAATATAGATTTCTGATACGTAAATTAAGATGTTTGGCTGCACTTTCTCTCGCCGTGTTTTAAGTTGGACCAGATCATAAAAGGAAACTAAATGCAGGTTAATAATAGGAAATCTGAGGAGAAGTGTAAAGAATAGAACCATAATGAGTGTGTCTCTGTGTTTCAGCTGAACTGCTGTGGTAAAAGCCAGACGTCGTCTTTCCTCACAGAAACCCTGGGCCTGACTAACCTCTGCTCCGCCAATGGAACCCCAATTGTAAGTGCCTCCGCCCCTGCCTGCACACTGTCTAAGGCCCCTTTCTGTTGTGTTCACATTGTAGCTGGCATTTCAAGTAGGCTTGATTTCAGATCAAATATTCAAAAGGTTACACCCACCAAGTCAACATCTAGCATTATTCAGAAGGTTTGTGCAATACCACTTCATCACAGAATAATGTGTCTTGACCTTAAATTAAGATTTTCTCTGAAATATTTGAATATCAAACATTTGGAATGCTTAAAGAGGCCCTCTTATGCTTTGTTTGGGATTTCCCTACCCTGTAGTGGTTTGTGTGCATGTCAATGGTCTGCAAAGGCTCAAATCCCTGTGTTCCCTTCAGAGGGAGTTTCTCTCCCACAACAATCTAAAGGCGCTCATGATTCAAATAAAGGCTATTTGTGGATCAAACTGGGTAGTTGATTTAAAATATGCTAATTTACAGATATCTCTTTCTCAATGTAAATCAATGACACCAAGGCTGCGTCTCAGGTCGGTTAAATGGATTCCTTGCTTCCCTCACTTGCGTCGTTTCCCTGCGTTTAGTCCCTCCCACCAGGGAAGCATGGAGGGACGCAAGGAAACCACGAGAAGCAGGGACATGAGCTTTAAGAGCAATGGGACGTCCTTTCCTCCAGAGCGTCACGTGAAGCGACGTCCGTTTGTGATGACGCTGCACAGCTGATCGTCTGACAGCAGCCAGATCAGTGCATGCGCTGCATCGTCCAATCAGTGAGCGATACACAGTAAGGAGGCGGGGCGAGTGTCTGAGGGTTTCACCGCAGGATGGTCTGGTAGTTCCTCGATTATCGCTCCTCCGTTATCACTCCTCGCTCCTCGATCCTCGGTCCTCCGGCACAAATAAGGCCACTGGGACGCTACTCAAGATGGCGCAGACAAATCAACTTCCGGTGAGACCGAGACCGAGGAGCGAGGAAATGAAAAATAAGAGAAGTGAAACGCAGCCAAAGTATTTTTGGTCCCAATCACATCACTTGACCGACACAGAAGTTGTAGTTCCCCTGTTTGGCTATATCTGTATTCACACTGTGTGCTGCACCCCGGGTTAACCTGATTTCTTGGCAGCACATGCACATTACTGGGATGACCAAAGTCTGAGCCAAGCCTCCCAGGATGTTGTGTGTTGTGTGTTCCGTTTTCTGGAACTGGGGTTTTCCGGACTATTTAGCCAATAACCTTTTAAAGGAGCAGGGAATTTATTTTGGTGCATTTTCTTTAATAAAGTCAAATTGCTGAAACAATAATAGTCTGATGATAGGGCTGAAGTCACAGACATCCGTGCTTTAAAGTGGCCACGCACTGTCAAAGCATGGATTTGCCTGGATTTCCCCTTCGGAATAAAAAAAAGAACAAATGAACCAAAACATTTCAAACCAAAAAGCAGAATCTGTAATCCTGCAAGTAATAGACCATTTTTAGAAATGTAACCTTTATATGATTATATATTTTTGTATCTTACTATGAGGGAATACAGGTACTTTTTTCTGTATTCTGATTACGTAATTCTGCTACATGTAATCCGTTTCTCCCCAAGCCTGCACACAGCACATGTGTACATCTGTTTGGCAGACGATCTGATGTCTGAGGCAGTTGGTGTTTCTCTAGGAGTCTCCATACTGTGTCGCTCTGCTGCCCTCTAATGTCTCCCTGTGCTCACACACTTTGCTGCCTTCATGTAAAGCACATTGTGACAGTTCAAGACAATAGAATTAACGACAGTAGTCAGTAATGAAAAGCCTGCCTCGGTTTCAAAAGTGATCAGGAATTACAAGTTGGAAATGTGGCTCAGTTGTCATTTTACACTCTGTAATGTCCGGTGTGTGATTGGACCGATTGGTAGCAACAGTTACTGAAGGGGCGTGGCTTAGTGAACGCTCTATTGCCCATGTGAACAACTTCCGTATGACCTCATCCTATCATGAGCCAGACGCTGAATAAAGCCCTGAACTGATCACTGTCAAGTGCGGAGCTGAGGAGTACTATTTAAATACTCAGCCACAGTCGTTTGTTCTACTTGCAGGTATGATCAGATCTTAATGACATGTTGATGGTTTCCTCTGCAGGGTTGCCACCAGAGGATCGATGAGCTGTTCACAGTTAAGATCGGCATGATCGGCATCGCCGCTCTGGCGGTCGCAGTTATTATGGTGAGACCAGAAAGCTGCACATCGCACCTCAAAACGTTATATAACATATTGTATTGATGCCTGAATGTATCTAAAAGAAGACAGAAGACATTGTCATACTTTCAAGTTTAGATTCACAAGATTATCTCATTCGAGGACACAGACACCAATTTGGATAAGCACCCTTCTCAATGAACATTATGTTAAAATAAAAGGCCTGTATTAACAATAATATTTCAAATATTGAATATATTAGCATATTTCAAACATTCAATGTAACCACTGCTTGTGTTTGTGCTGGTCCTCCCAGATCTTCGAGATGATCTTCAGCATGGTGTTGTGCTGCGGGATCCGCAACAGCCCGGTGTATTAAAGCGAGGGGCCGACAGCCCGCTGGAGGAGGGAGGACCCCCGCGTTTCCGTCTCGCTCTTTCCCTTTTTTCTCTTATAAGCAGGAAACGTCACGTATTATATTGCTTGCTGGATTTAGTCCGCTCTTTGAGAAGACAGCGTAACACATTGAGCATTTGAATGACACTGTCCATTCTTTTGTTGTCGGTCACACATGCTGGTTTGCATATTGACCCGTGCTACCCTAACCTGATATGTAGATATCACACCAGTCCTGGTGCATTAATACTTTAGTGATGCATTAGTTGTTTACTGCTTCCTCGCGTATGAACATGCTCTTATATTCTTGGTTTTATGGATGTTTTTTCACTGTTTTATGTATAAACTGTATATAAATATATATATTAACAGTGCTTTATGACTGCCTCAGCATGGAAATTGTATTACAGCAGATCCTTCTCCTGTATTCTTCCTGCACTCTGCTTGTTTGTCTCGCTCTAGACTGAACCAGATGATGGTGTGTGCAGAAACTGACTAAAGAAGGAATTCTCAGTTAACCTTGTAAGCTGGAACCAAAGTCAAAGTGACCCGATGTCTGTCATGTTGGACCTGTGGAGTGTTTTGTCTTTGGCTGTCTGTCGCTCATCATGTGTCCAAACTGTCTGAGTGCTAAGTTGTATAAAACATTTATGGAAGGGTAATACAATTGTATCAAATGAAATCAAGTAATGTACGTTCAAACCACACTTTGGCTTGTTTGGCCGGCCCGGCTTATAAATCCTCACCGGCATCTCAAATGTAGTGAAAAGGTTTCATATGAATATCATAAGTCTGCATATCGTTTGTATAATATGCTTAGCAGGCAGGAACATGTCACCACCAGGCTTTTGCTGCTCTGAGAAATCATTAGTTCACCACTTGCATTTGTTTGATGCAAGTGGATACAATTATTATAAATGATACATTTAAAAGGTTTTATACAACTATGCACTTATTTGTGAAGGCAACGTGCTTAATGTAATAATCATCTCTCCCAAATCAGAGGAATTACATTGAAATATGACCCATCACATTTCAACTCAAATCAAGTTGGTGGAAATATCTGGTTGAGTCTGGTCTCGTGCGACCTGCTGTGTCATAGTACTATCTCTCCAGCTACTACCCTTATCATCACCATCAATCAAACTGTGATTCCCATTCCTGCCAGCAAAAAAATAAAATAAAAGTCAACCAGCCGAGACTCCGGGTATTTAACCTGAAAAGATGAATAGTTCCAGCTTCACTCTGTTACTTTGTTATTAATCCCTTACCAAGAAGTATTCAACTATCATGTTGTAACGTCAGTCTAACAAAGTGATTTCACGGCTGTTGGATTGGCTGTTTGCTGTTTACAGTGGTAATATGTGTACTATAGGGCAGCTCGGTGACATTGAAGGCATAGTTTGGATGTTTTTAGTGTTGTATGAGAAGTCAGTGGAGGGTGTTTGGCAGACGCCCAGTTTGAATAGAAAAAAGTTACAGTACAGAAGCTAAGCTATCTACTACTGTGGAGCTGCAAAACATTTGTTATCTTCTTAAAAGAAAGGCCTACCTATTCAAATCAATATAAGTTTGGCTATATTTATCTTGACCTTGCCTGCAGATGGCCCATTCCAACAGGAAACACCAGACTCCACTGACAAAAACGGTTATTTTGGCCTTCAGAACATGGGGGTTTCTTAATTCAGTAGTTTCTGTTATTGTGTGACTTTGGTACGTTTATTACACCAAAGTCACACAATAACACTAACTAACTGATACAGTTATATAGATGCAGTTTTTGTCAATGGAGTCTGGTGGCTGAATACAGCGTACAGTTAAATTGATATTGACTTTTTCAGTGGGGCCTCCATTTTAGAGCTTCTCAAAACATGGGGGGTGCCAACCACCATCCACTGGAAGTAGGATAAGAACCTCATATCATGATCAGCCAATCACATGCTGTTTATTGGATACTGTTCTGTCCTGAGGTCTGTTCTCACTAGCTCCTGCTGCCGCTGACACTAACACACACCTGTACACATCCATCACACACTCACATTAACTGAGTCATCTTGTGTAACCTTCCATATTATCACAGCTTTCCTCAACCAAGTAAAACCTTGTTAACATCTCATACTCAAACCAAGAAACAGTAAAGTGTCTTGTAATATTTACAGCTCTGACGTATTAATGAAATCATGAAGGCTGTAGAAAGACAATGTATGCCTTTTCTTCTTCTTCTTCTTGTATTGTGATATCAGTGTTTGGTACGTTGTCAAAGGAGTCTGCGCAGAGAGGGGGAGATTCTGTGCCAGTGGTGAATAGTGACCTTCAATAGTTTGTCCCCAGAAATCATTGGAAAACATGACAACAGCCACCAGTCCAGTATTCTCAAGACTTCTGTGTTTGTCAGGACCTGCTGTCCATGTTGCTGCCTTTTTAAAAACAGGAAGTGACTCTCAGGATCCTCTGCCACTGAAATCTCAACCCCTCTCTCTTGTAGACTTTGGTTTGCCCAAATATAAAGGGATTAAATGTATTTTACAAATAAACAATCAGGTTGTCTTGTCTTTTTGGGGGGGAATTCCTCCTATACAAAATGGGAACTACCACAACAATTACAGGGATGGAAACAAATATGATTATTATGATGTATTTATTTCAACAAGGACCATGCATACAAATACATTAATCTCAGAGAAGAGATGAATGATGCCAGATTTCCATCTGCAGTCTGAACCTAAAGGATATCTGACCTTTTTCTAACTGAACACTTTGAGTCAACTTGATATCCCCAATAGATTTCAGCTGAATGACTCACTCAGAGTTGATTGCAGGTTATTCAGATCACCTACTTGAGAGCAGCTTGGTGCATATCTCATCAGCCAATCAGAGTGAGACAAGCCCTTTTTTTAGGTTTTAAAATTATTGGAAGACAACACACACCACATGTTTCCTCCACTTATTCAACACTTCAAGATGGATTGTTTTACTTGTATTACTGACGATGTGTTTGAGCATTCACATGAAAGAAAAACAGTTTCCACTAGGTGAACTGCATCAGGGCAGGTTTCAGTGTGAGACTGCTTACCAGCCTCATGCCTGTAGGCTTTATTATGTTATTGGTTGATGTGTTTTTTGTTCAAGATTTTTTTTTTTATTATTATTTTATTTAGGAAGCCTTTTTTTTTTTTTTTCACTGTGAAGGCACCCGTGGGGTTTTTATTTGAGCTAGGAAATGTTTCTCAGGCTTCTTCCTGATCAGCTGAAATGTGGGGCTAAGTTACTCGCTACCTTACTTTGCATCAGGTGACAACATGATATGAGTATTAGAATGTGAGTGAAAATGTAAATGATAACCAATTAATTGTAGGCCTGTCACAATAGTTACGTCAATCGACTTATTGTACATTATGAGGACATAACCTCCATCATTTCTGTTCAGTTTTTTTTACACAGAACGGCAGGGTTTGATTTGATATTAGAATATTTTCATTTCCAACTTCAATGTCTGAATACTCTGTAGAATAAAACCAAACATGCAGGATTGATAGTTTTGCAGCACTCTTGATACTTTCCAATCTGTTCTTCTGACCACACATGAGATAACAGCATGGATTAATAGTTTTGAGTCCATTACTGTTTTCATTCCAAAACATTTCTAAATCTCTATTTCAACAGAAGAACATAATGTTATGATCAACGGACGTAACCACATTACATGAAATGTTCCCCCTGCAAAACATGAATCATCAAGTTCAGAAGTGTGGATTCAAGTCACATGACATCACATGTGATAACTTTAGACTCGACTTGGCAAAAATCAGAAAGACTTTGAACTTAAGAACATGTCATGATCTTATATATTTGTTCTCTTCCTTCAATAGCCTTTTTCTTCTGCCAGGCTGTCCTTGTAAACAAAACTGTGTTCTAAATGACATGTCTACAAATATCTCCTGAACTTCCCCACTCAATCTATCAAGACCCGAGCAGTTCTATTAGAAGTCCAAGGTAAGGCACGGGCCGGCGCATATCGCTCAAAGGAATAGAGTGGCGAAGTCACGCCCATCTACTTCCGGTCCATGAGACCTTATTTCGAAAAAATGATGTATTGAAGTCAATGGAGAGAGAAAACTTATCTTTCGATCCCGTTTGAATTGTGCCACACATATGATGTTTGTCAATCTTAAAAAAATCATTTTCATGTCAAAAAAGTCACAGTTTTTCGTAAAACTGTTGAAATATAAGACTATGAAAAATATGCAACTAGAAAGACTACAAATCCCAGAGTTGCGTAAGTGATGTCACAATTGTTTTCCTCCACTAAGAGATAGCTAAAATCAGCACCATATAGATTAAAATCTATCTATATGGCGCTGGCTAAGATAAGATAACTTTAACAAGATGCCTGTGTGCTTAGTAGCCTACCAGGTTGTTATCATAGCAGCAATGGGTCTTGCTCGTTCTTTCGCTTCCCGTCTGATGAAAGGACCAGGAGTGGCTGGATCAAGTTAGCTACCTAGCTAGTAGCAAGCACGTTAGTTAGCATTACAGCCTTAGCCTTGTAATTTGTATTAGCCTTAACATGAAGTAACCCAAAATGTTAAACAGTAAGAGTAGTAGTCATATTTCGTGAACCCTTTGAAGAGTACTGTCACACCGGTGTGATCATTCTATAATACACAATTTAAGCCCGGGGGAGAAATGCTAACGCTAACGCTACATTAGCATCCGCGATCTTTTCTACTTCATGCTATCTGCACAAATGGTTGACATTAAACATTAAAAAGACCAGAGAGAATCAAAGGAAGGCAGGTAGCTTTGCATGACATTCTTCTGGACGTGTTTCATTGTAGTGATAGTGAGGGTAGTTAATCCCTTGTTTAGCAAGGGGATTGGCGCATTTATTCGCACATAGTTTCGCGCGAATAAACGGGGAGGTCCGTTTAATAAATGGGGAGGTCCGTTTAAGTTCAGAGTTTCAGTAACCAATCAGGGAAGAGCAAAGCCAGACCAAAGCAATCTGTAGATGAAAAGTTCCTGACATTGTGAGGCTGTAAATTGTACGTTATTCCAGATTCAGGGGACTATGTATTAATTTGCCTTTCAATATAATAAATATATCAATCAATATAACCTGCCTTCATTGTCTTTTAAAATAAAATCGCCTTACCTTACTGAAGTGAAGGGTATTTATGTCTCCTTAAATCACCTTTTATTGTACTTCTTATAACATGGCATGGTGTAACATTCAAAATGTTCAGTCTCTGGTCTTGCTAGAAATGCAATGTCACTCACCTTAGAGCACTGTCTCATGAGATACTTAGCTTAGAAATCAGATTTTTGGAAAACTTAAAAACTCTTGTGAAAACACAGATGTACTCATGTCATCCATTTTTGTTGGTGTTTCAGATTTGGTTTACCAACGTTTTTGGTTCACAAAAGTAGTGAAATGTATGAATTACACTATAGGCCTATATAAATGTGTTGTTCATGTCTAAAATGAAAATGTGTAAATTAGAATTTGGAGTAAAATAGTTATATCACTCTACTTTCACCACAGAAAAGTTACATCAGGACTGACTGATTCATGACTTCATATTCCATACTGAGGTTCATGTGATGTGTACAAATTGAGCATTACAACTTTTTTATTCAACCAACTATTTATGTTAACATACGAAACTGTAAAATCTCAATATTTACAATACAGGGTTCATACACTTTTTCACCAATGATTTTCAATGACTTTTCCATGACCAAAAAAAATTACTCTTTCATGTGGCTAGCATGCGCTGCCTCGCCCATATTCGAAATATCGAATATGTTACAACACAGTTTGCATTTAGCACGTCTTGGGTCAATGTCTTTTGATAACCACAATTGGTACTTATCCTTTAGAAGCCATACATTGTTGAAACTGCACTTCCCTGGCATCTTGGCAGCTTTATATCAAATAGTAGCTCCTGTAGACTAGAGGGCGTGATTGTAAACATCTCTCACCAGCGAAATACTGCCACAGTTGCCATTTTACGTTTCATTATACAATACAGTATTTATTATCATTATAGTATTACTATTTCGGTGATTAGATAACATATAAATTATATTTGATGCAACTTTAATTATATTTCCATGACTTTTCCAAAACTTTGTGAAAAATATTGCATTCCATGATTTTTCCAGGTTTTTAATGACCGTACGAACCCTGATAATATCAGAACTTTCTCAACCAACTATTCATTATAAATGTAAAGACAGGGGGAGCAGTGCCATGGTCTTTGTCTGTCTTCCAAGACAGTGGGTCTGGCTGCTATGTAGGTGGGGGTGATGGTGCATGGGCTGCTGGTGTCTGTGTCGGAGGGAGGGAGGTGTGCTAGGCGAGACTTCTTTGCTGGTTGGGTTGATCGTGATGGCTGTGGTGGAGGCCTTTGTACCGAGGTGTATCTTAATCTTGTGGCAGGCACAGATGGAGATGGAGGCTGCTGTAGTGATGCTGGTCCTCTGGTCCTTGGTGGTGATGGCTCTGGTGAAGGCCCTTGAGCCACGGTAGATCTTGACCTGGGTGCAGGCACAGATGGAGGTTCTTGCTGCTAGGCCCAGGCAGCAGTGAAATCGGAAAGAACTGTAGGACAATAATTACTACTAAGTTCATTAAAATATAAAGTTCAAGTGGAATGTTTCTCAAGCACAACGGACCTCCCCGTTTATTAAACATGGTTAAACCGTACACCCCAGCACGTGCACTCCGCTCTGCATCAGCCAAACAGCTCGCTGCACCCTCACTGCGAGGGGGACCCAAGTTCCCATCAGCAAAAACACGTGGGTTTGCTATCCTGGCTCCAAAATGGTGGAATGAGCTCCCCATTGACATCAGGACAGCAGAAAGCTTACACACCTTCCGGCGCAGACTGAAAACTCATCTCTTTCGACTCCACTTCGAGCGATAGAATTACTAACAAAGCACTTATATACTAATAAAGGACCGGCTTATCTAAAGCCAGTTGAGTAGCACTTGAAATGTTTTGGCTCTATGAAACCTGGAGTACTTATATGATTCTGTTTTCTTCAAGTTTGTATTTTGTTGGTCGAACGCACTTATTGTAAGTCGCTTTGGATAAAAGCGTCGGCTAAATGCAATGTAATGTAATGTAATTAAACGGACCTCCCCGTTAATTCGCGCGAATAATGGCGCAAATGGCTTTCCATACTGCTCCCTTACGATAGGTCTGAGACACTGGGGTTGCGTTCCAATAGTCCATTTAGCTTAGGAACCTTCCTAACCAAGTGAAATGACCCGGAAGTACGTCAGTGGCAGCCATGATAAGTGCCGTTGTCAGTACCAGATATGTTCGGGCTACCAGATATGTTCGGGTGTATTTCCGTCGCATCCGTCATCCGTCATATTCGTCATATTTTACGGCAACTCAAGAGGGCCATCACGGTCAAATTCCGAACATTTAAACATAGCCGACACTTCATTCTTTACTTTGTCCGTTATTATATGTAGAAGATTATACTTTTTCTCCGTCATATTGTTTCCATAGCAACAACT